GCCATTCAATAGTATTTTACATTTCTTTCAAGTGTACAGCATAATGTTAGATGATTACATAATTTACGAAGTGATCCCTGGGGATGACACATTTAATTTAATTTTATTTTTTATTTTATTTTTGGGAGGGAAGAAGAGAGAGAGAAACATCCATGTGAGAGAGAAACTCGATTGGTTGCCTCCCATACACACGCAATCCAGGCATGTGTCCTGACCAGGAATCAAACCCATGACCTTCCGGTGCCCTGGCCAATGAACGCTCCAACCGACTGAGCCACACCGGCTAGGCAAAGAGCATTCTGGGTAGAAGAAACAGCCAGTGCAAATGTCCTGAGGTGGACTGCGCTTCGCAAGTCTAAGCAGCAGCACTAGGCAGGTGGGGCAGGTGCGAGAGACGGGGAGAGGCTGTGAGATGAGGTCCAAGCAGGGACACATAAAGATCCTAACTCCTACTCAGGTGTCGTCAACGTCTTCCAGGTCAGGCCTGTAGGTCTATCCCGTGGCTTTGGGCTATCGCACAGCAGCCCGGACGAGGCCCTGCTATTGAGAGCAACGTTACAGATGAGAGACATTCGTGGCACCACGTCAGCAGGAGAAAGAAAGAACTCCCACCGGCCCCCTGCCACCACCCGCGTCTACAACATGCTTCCGGCCGTCTCCACTTAAGACCACTTAATAGCCCGTAAGCGTCTTCTCTTTTGTTCATCGTTGATTCCTAATTCCTCCAAAGCCACGCTGTCCAATCAAAATACAATGTGAGCCGCCTACGTCATTTTACATTTCCCAGTAGCCACCTTAAAAGAATGAGAAAGACGTAAGTGAAATTCCCGTTTTAATTTCGGTCGAATCTGTTATTTAAGCCAGTAGAGCCAAGTGAGGGCCATTGCCACAGGGAGTCAATATGACATTTTTAATAAGAGAGTTTACTTCTGTTTTTTTTAATCCTCACTGAGGATACACTCTTGTTATTTTTTCACTCTTTATTGTGGGGGTTTTTTTAATCCTCACCCAAGAATATGTTTTTCATTAATTTTTAGAGAGAGGGTTCTTTTGAAAGATAGGAAGGGAGAGGTTGCCTCTCGCACGTGCCCTGACTGGAGGTCAAACCCACAACCTTTTGGTGCACGTCTCTTCCCTCTCTCTTCCACTCTCTCTGAAAATCAATGGCAAAATATCCTCGGGTGAGGATTAAGAACAACAAACAAATAAATGAATAAAGGTGATTAAATGTGAAGGAGGAGGAGGAGAAGGAGGAGGAGGAGGAGGAGGAGGGGGTGGAGGAGAGGAAGAAGAGGGAGCCCTGGGGTGGAGTTTGCTAGGAGCAAAGCCTAACCTGGGGCTGGAGCGGGGGATGGAGGGGACCCCAGTGGGGGTCAGGGCACAGGAGGCACCAGGTGTGGGAAGGGTTGATGAGGGAGAGTAGAGGGAGGCTGAGTGTCTGGAGGACTGGGGGGGGAGCCCTGGGGTGGGAGAGGAGCAGGTCAGTGAACACCCTGAGCTCAAGTGGCCTTGGTGGGGACGGAGCGGGGGCACCCCTGTGCGTGGGTGGGGTGGGGCTGGGTAGAGTATAGCTGCACGGCTACTCAGGTCAAAACAGGACCATCCTTGAGTCCTCGCTGCTTCTCACGCCTGCCTGTGCTCCGTCAGCGAGTCCTGCCCGCTCACTTTAAAGCAGCGATTCTCAACCTGTGGGTCGCGACCCCTTTGGGGGTCAAACGACCCTTTCGCAGGGGTCACCATCGGAAAACTCATATATAATTACATATTGTTTTGTGATCAATCACTATGCTTTAATTATGTTCAATTTGTCACAATGAAAAGGCACCCTGCCTATCAGATATTTACATGACGATTCATCACAGTAGCAACATGACAGTGATGAAGTAGCAACGAACATAATGTTATGGTTGGGGGTCCCCACCACATGAGGAACTGTATGAAAGGGTCGCGGCATTGGGAAGGTTGAGAACCACTGCTTTAAAGGAATTAGAAGGAGGCCCCTTTTTCCCTGCCCCCTGCCACCAACCTGGTTACTGTAATGCCACCTGCCTCTCCTCACCTCTGCAGTCTGCCCCACGGACGCCAGAGGGAGCCGGTGAGCAGGCCACCCAGACCCTGTCCTGCTTCAGCTCAGCTCTGCCCGCAGCTCCCAGGCCCCCCAGGACCCACCCAGCAAAGAGCATGCCGTCTTTGCTCTTTAATAACTCGGTTCCGACACACACGAGGTTGGGCAGGAGTCCCAGGTCCACGCACCAGAGGCAGTCGGATACCAGACCCGCCTGGAAACCAGGCAGGAGAGGTTCCTCACGGCTCCTCCCTCTGACCCGGGAGTCTGGGGCCCCCAGTCCCCTGCAGGGACTCTCTCCCCGGGGGTCGGGTTTCACGATAAGACTTGTTCTGGCAGGCGGATCTCAAAGGACCTCCAGGGCCAGGCTGGCGGTGGGGACCTGTCCAAGGGCAGCGAGGAGCCGGAGGCGGCTGTGAGCAGGCGAGGGGCGGGTCGGGTCTGAGCGTAGACAGCCCTCTGAGGCCACCTGGTGATGGATGGAGGGAATAAACTGGCCGGTGGGAGGTCGGGGAGGAGGCTGGGGTGAGGGGCCAGGGGCAGAGGAGGACACCTGAGCTGCAGCCAGGCCCAGGGCACAGAGAGGAGAGAACGAGGCAGAGAGAGGCAGGGACAGGAAGGAGCCAGACCGGGGACCTTTGGGCTGTAAGGGACAGGAGCAGAGGTCGCCATATGACGAGGCGGACGGTGGGGCTGGCCCTAAGATGGGAAACATGGCAGGAGGCCAGTTTGGGGAAAGAGAGAGAGATGAGTCAGGACACACAGAGAGGGGCCTCCCAGGACCAGGGGGCCGCCGAGGCAGGAGCTCAGGGTCAAATGGAGGAGACCTACGTGGTTGGTGGTTGAACCACGAGAGTTGATGAAAGACTCCAGCGAAGAGGAGGAAGAGGAGGAGCAGGGTACAGGGCGGGACTCGGGCTGCGGTTAAGGTGAAGGACGTGTGGGGAGATGCCCAGGAGGACACCCATCACCCAGGTCTGACTCGCCAGGGTGGGAGGGAGGGGGGACGCAGACGTCACCGTGCTGGGAGCAGGGCAGGGTGCCCTCCAGGTGAGCCCGCCACCAGACTCTGCTTATGGGGGGTTAGATGCCACCCTTCTCCCATATTATCTGTGCGGAAATCGACCTTGGCCACCGGTCTCCTACACACCCAGCCCCCATATTGGCTCCCCTTCCCATAAAGGGGCTGGCTCTCCAGACTTGGGGAGGGGCCATGCTTATCATTTCAGCGCGTGATCTGAGGTCTATGCCTCCTCATTAGTCAAACCAGCCAGGGGAGACTCGGCAATTGCCCAGGGCCCTGCCCAGGGCCCTCTCGCATTCTGACGGCGTGGTAAGACAACTTCAAATTCCCCGAGCTTTGGGTCATCTTAGCGATGATCGCCAGCCCCCGGAAAGCAGAATGCAGACTTCAAGCCTCAAAACCAGAATCAAGACTGTAGAATCCAGAGTAAAGGCTCCAGTCACTACATTTATATTCCAGAGTCAAGATTCTAGGAGTCTAGTAACCATGGCAACCAGGTCCATGTCCGGCCTCGTTTTTTCTTTTCTTTTTTTTCGGCCTCTTAAATATACCATGCAGATTTGAAACTCCAGACCACGCTCCAAAGTCAGCCCAGGAAATCTCAGAATCTAGACCTAGACTCTAGGATCCAGGCTCCAACATTCAAAATCGACCATTCACACGCCAGGTTCCAGTCTTCACACAGCAGGGGTGAAGATTTCTGACCTCAAGTCTTAGGTTGCAAACGCCAGATTCCAGACTCACAGATTGGATGCTGGGTTCAAAGGCCCAGGATCTAGAATCCAACTCTGAGATGTCAAATTCCAGAATGGAGACTCCGCCAAAAGTCACACTCTAGAATTCAGGCCATGAATCCCCCAGCTCTAGACCCCAAAATCCAGAATCCAGAACTGGAGAGCCAGGATCAGAGATCCACGACCAGAGATCTGGATCCGGAACCCAGGACCAGAGGTCCAGAATCCAAGATTCTGAACCCAGAATTGAGACGTCTAGGCTTCGAGATCTAGAATCGGGTGTCTGGATCCAAAACCCAAGGTCCAGCGTCGGAGATACTAGAGATGGAACCCGACATCAGAAAAAGCAAAAACCGAGTCCAGAATCGGGGGGTCCAGAATCCAGAATCGGAGACCCAGAGTTGGGGCTCTAGACCCAAGTCCAGAGTTCAAGATCCAGAACCCTACTCCAGGCACAGGAAGCGTGGCTCTCGAATCCAGTTTCTACGCCCCAGACCCCAATTCCAGGTCACGGGCTCCAGAATCCAGGCTCTGTATTGTGACCCCCCAGTTTTCAACTCTGGCC